GATAGGCAAATCTGTTCTCTTTTTCAAGTAGGGCTATCTTGTGATTGGGATGACGCATTAATAGCTCCCTTGCAGAAGCAGCACCTACTATGCCTCCACCTATCACAGCTATATCGTAGTGCTCTTTGCCAGTGCTGTACCTATAATTAGATAAAAGAAATCGGTTAATGATTAGGTACCTATTTAAATAATCAATAATGGGAAGATTAAAGGGGGAAGGCACCAATGTGCGGAGCAAGTGGCGTTGTACGAATGTAAAGCAGGCTGCATACAAATCTTAGGCTGCATAGCGGTAAAAAGCATTTGATGGAAACGAAATTGAATAATTTACTTACCATTTAGAACAAGAAATAAGACTTGATTTGTGGAAAAAACGCATTGTTGAGGGTCCCATTAAATTTGTCAGTATAGCCATTATTTGTGTGTAAAAAGTATTTTAAATTGATAATAACAAACAAACACTGCAAACTTTATTATATAAATTTATGGAAATAAATAATCTAAAGTAATTACACGACGAAAACAGCACTTGGTAAACTTACGCTAAAAATTGCTAAAAATGACGGTGATGACACTAANTAGGGCCACAGAGAGCGAGATAGATATAAGTAGGTATTTGACTCAAGTTTTGTTCCCAACTTTGCCCTCCATTTTTATCTGTAGCTTCATGGGAACACAGATGTGGTACGGATGTTATAAGTCAACTTTATCGATATCGATAAAAATGCATAAAACGCTTTTTTTATAAAATTAATCCATAAAATTAAAATCTCTGGTATTTATGTTATCAGGGTCTGCAAAACCTTTTGCAATGTTAACACACATATCGCTACGAAGTGGAATGGATAGAGCGTTTTGCTAGTGGAATAGAATTTGTGATTACTGTTTCGTCGTGCCGCATAATTAGGTATTAAATAGGCCTCTCTCTCTCATTGCGCGACCAATATATTTTTTGGTTATTTAATATTAATCTTTGGAGCGCACAAAATGAGTATATAGCATCTCTACCACGGGGATATTCGGGTGAGAAAAGGGATCAAGGGCAAACTCATTATGACGGAATATAGTTTCCACTTTAATTAGGTAAACCTTATTCCTCTTCCATAAAGTCCAAAACAATTAATGAACTTAGTAATTCCGTAGATAGGGCCTTCGCTAAAACTCGCGCGCCCGCGCCGAACGCGGTTTTGTACCGAAAATTGTCCGGTATGAGCAAAGCACATAGGCTACGTAATATCATCAAAATGTGCCGCTCCGTGCACACGTGCGAGCTTTATATGAGGTCCATAAAACCCTATATTATAGGGTTTCTTCATCCCCCATTCCCCCTCTCTCTAACACATTAAAGCAATAAAATTAATAGTTGTTTTAAAAACATTTTTTATTTATTGGATCAATTAGGATACACAATTTTTATTTGAAACATGTTTTGGTTTTCTGTATTTTGGCCAGTAGTTTCATCTTGATCGGAGTCGTTTGTTTGTTCGCTAATGCGAACATTGGAGTCAGTAGCTTCTGCTATGGAGGTATAAAATTCTTTTCTTCTTCCCATTTTAAATATTTCTTCGTCTTGAAATTTATGATTATGAGGATTTTTCCTGAAAAACGAAAGTTTATAAAACAGATAATTCACAAATCGTCAGGAAGTCCCTAAAGTGGTATAACATTTTGCTTCTAACGTCGCACACAATTTATAGAAATTTCGCCGCAAATATAATGAAAAGAATAGGGCTCAGAATTGAGCCCTGTGGTGTAACCTCTTTCAACTCGTTCAATACTTGACCTAATCAAAAGTCCATTATTGTCCTTCAACTCAACAAACTGCCTCCTATTCGTCAAATATTGTGGAACCAGTCACATGCAGGCACCGAAAGTTTTGGCAGTAGCAGTTCAGTACTCATACCTACAATCGAAAGCATGAAAAAAGTCTAAGTGCGCCGAGTTGCACTATTTGTCGATTTGTCTTTGCTCCGACATCTGTTGTATGCAGTTACTTCACAGTTCACTCCGTGAGGCGATTTCGAAATTAAAACTGTCATATTTTGTTGTGACTTTTCTAGGAGGCAGATCGACGGTTTTATCATTTGCATTGATTCCGTCTGGGTTTATACCAATCACACATTTGAATCTATTTATGCGCATAGCTTCGACAATTAATTTCGTTTCATAAATGCGCCTTGGTGTTATAGTAGCTACTACAAGAAACAGTCAAGATTTACCTGCATAGAATTATTTCGCCATTTGTATCAATAAATGCCGGACAACGCATTTTACGATAATTAATACATCTCCACCTTCGTTTTTGTTGTAAACGTGACGAGTGATGTAAATAGTAAACAAATCTATTCATTACCATCTGCAAAGACCCTCTATTTGATTTTGTATAAAGTGGAGTAACACCTGTATTGTGAGAAACAATTTATTTATTAAAAAATAATATCTATACATATAATAAGCCAAGTTGATTTTTCTATACTTACTCACCAAAATTTTCACAAGTCTTTTTTGGTTTTTTAGTATTATCAGAACAATCAATTATTATAGGTGCTGTTTCAATTTGATAATCAATTGCAGTAGATTTCTTTTCAATATTATTCTTTGTTTGATCACCATGTGTAGTCACAGTCGCTGTACCAGGTACTCTCAAGACAGGATCAATTTTAATAAGGTCTTCAAAATCTAGATCCATATCACATTTCTCATTATTTTCTAATTCATGTTGACTTGTCTCATATTTATAAGAAGTAATTTGAGCAAAGTTATCTGAATTAACATCAGAAATGTTTTGTTCATATTTATTTGGATCCTCATCAGGAGCACTTGACTCAAAGTTATTTATAGTACCTTCAGAAATGCTTGGTACAAAGTTTTCTGAATGAACTTCTGAAAGTCTTGATGTTGAATGATCATCATATTTAAAATTTTCGAAATGAACATTTTCTTCATTACATTTTATAGGATTTACTTCCAAGTCGGAATGGTGTCTTAGATCCATATTTACAATATTAACACAATTTTCACTGAAAATGAAGACCTGGATTCAGCATCAAATTCATCTAAGATAATAAAAAAGTAGATAATTTTAAATAGTATTGGATATCAAGCTAAAAAGTGTACCTAAATAGCTACACGAAGCATAGTCCAATTTACATAAAATCAAATCATAATGTTTATTATTATTTATATGTGTAGGTATGTTGTATTAAATATTTTATAGAATGTAAGTACACACGACAGCACATCAGGCTACCCATTTTTGTTGCAAACTCGCCCCTATTACAACTGCACAAGAACTTACAGTGGTTACGTTGACGTGCCGTCGTCTGTACATATATTATCATGTATGATATATTCAATAACATGCTAGTGTTTGATTTCCACCTTGTTTTAAATGAAAATGGGATATGTTACCTGGAATGTTCAGAATTTTTATTAGTTTCAGTCTCTTGAATAGGTTGGCTATTTTTAGAATGAAGCTGACTAGATTTATTTTGTTTGGTTGGCCGTTGGTCAGAGTTAGCCTGAAACATAAATATAAGGTAGTAATTCAAGAAATACTTGTAGTACCTAATAAGTTAATTATAGATTTTTTTAAATTTCTACCTCAGGCAATTGAAGGTCCTTGATGCCTGAAATATGCAATAGTTTAGCAGCTTCAACAAAGGCAGGTAGCAAGTGACTAGGAACATTGACTTCTCCGCTGTAGATATATTCCAATATGCAGCATAACACTGAATGGCTTATAGACTGAAATTGAATATTATAAAATGTTACATGATATTTTGGTAGGAATTGTGATAATAATAATAATAATAATTTTGTTAATTATAATAATATTTATTTACTTCTTGAATTTTCATATTGTATACAAATTGAAGTTTATTTTATGTGTTCAGTTTCTGGATTTATGCAACTCAAAGGCCATTGCTACAAGCTACTAACGGAGTTGTGAGAAAAACTTGTTTTGTAGATAAAAAAAACTTACTCCTAAAAATATAACTGGATGTTGACATGGTGCCGATCTTAACATTTCTTTTAGATAAGGGCTTGCCAAAGCGATTATATTTTGATGAGCTTTGACCAAATGTCCACCAGCAGCTAATGTAACATCCACAAATTCCTGCCTCTGAAATATTGATTTGTTTTTAAGAGTAAGTTATGGTGTGTTGAAATGTTTGAGTAAGTAAAATGTAATAAATAGCCAATTAATAATACTGTAATAGTCTATTTTTTATTATGAATTAAATACAATTATTAACAGTAGGCGCACATCGTTGATTTTTAGTTGGCCGATAGTTGTGCCCGATTTTAATTTGTATGAAGAATCGGCCAAATCGAATCGGCGTAGTGTGCGCACTTCCATACATGCCCATACTGATCAACTGCCCGACTGAACTATCGGCCGACGAAAATTACGAAAAATCAACGGTGTTCGCCTACTCTAAACCGATTGCTGCTGTGTTTATCCCTTCTGATAACTAAGCGAATATTTTCGGAACAACAATCAATGTTATAGGTTTTACTTACCTGTTGTAATTTGAAAAAGCCATCACTTAAATTGTTTTTATAGGTCTCCCAACAAAGTTTAAAGTTTGTCTCCAACATATTTGTTCAATCAGACAATCACACAATTTCTTTTGCTGTGTATGAAATAATGCTCTTCTTATTTTTTAACAGAAAAACAGTCGTCTTTTGAAGCAAGCCATAAACATACCCACATGAAGTAAACAAACAACTGCAATGTATTACTTTTCTCTATGCTGCAAACAAATCATTTTTTTTTTGACGTCTGACACTGACAGAAGTGCACAGTGACGTTTATTTTTTCTTCTTTTTTTTAGATCACAGACACTGACATTGTCATGCATTCAGTCGAGCGAGCTAAAAAAGTGTGTATTGAACTATTGGTTGTAAAATTATTAGCAACTGTTGTCAAAAAGATAGCCAATAGCTCTGCAAATAAATTAATTTATTGTCTGTGACTCTGTGCATAAAAAAACAAAATGTCACAGCACAGTTTACGAAATGGTTGTTTGTTGTTTTTCAGTTTTTTCCATTGAATTTTATAATTAATTCGTTCTTTCAATTCAGAAAAAGGGATTTCTAGTGTTTTTTTCTTTTCTGTGAATCCATTGTAAACGCTTTACTGGCTCTCCTACCCACGAGATGGTGCAATCTCAGTTTTCACTTACTTGGGAGTCCTACAAATCGAGTATTTGTAAAGGTTTTAGCTCTTTACAACAGGTATGTCTTGTTAAATCACATAATACATTTCACGAAACAATTTTTTTACTATGTTTATTGTTTACTTTGCTTCAGAATGGCGAATTTGTCGACATGACCCTCGCGGCTGATGGTCACTATGTAAAGGTCCATCAAGTTTTAATAGCCTTGGCTAGCCCATATTTAAAGGAGCTTATTTCATCAGCTCCGTGTCAACATCCTGTATTGTTTTTAAATGTAAGTACTCAAACTTTCATGTCTTGTTTTCAGTCATGGTGGTAGAGGGTTCATAAAAACTAACCTGTTGAATTACATTTACTTTAGTTATTAACATTCAAATAAATGATTATGTGTATCAATTTACAGATATAGAATTGTATCCACAAAATTAATAATAAGTTCTACCTTCACTCAGAGATTTCATAATTTTGTTAGATTAAACTGTTTTTGAAATTACATCTGTACCTAGTTTTGAAATATTGTCTATAACTAATACCTACTTAAAAATTTCAGAATGTATCACACAGTACATTATCCTTACTTCTGATGTATATTTACACTGGCGAAGTGATGGTGCCGTCTGACAATTTAGCAGCCTTTGCAGAAGCTGCCAAATCACTTCACATTAAAGGATTAGAAAATCTTGTAAGTATTCAAAGAATATACTTTTTTAAGTCTAATTAAAACCACAAATATTTATGTAATACCTATGTACATTTTTTAAAGTATTTTTCTTTTTTCTGAATTACATTACGTATTGGTATGGTCAACAGGATATCAGTTAAGACTACCCATTTTGGTTGAAAAATAGTTACTTTAGCACTTATTACAAATTACAACTACATTAACCCTTCAATCCCCGCTAATTGAGACACAATGGATAGTCAATTGTTGTGCGGTCATATGCTACTGCTTGGGGATTGGGTGGGTTAAGATGCTACAGTTTTTATTGCTATTTTTACGGTAAACATGTCTTATTTCAGACTGGCTATGACAGTATGACCCTCAAAGTTGCTGAGAATCTGTCTCAAATGGAAGAAGGAGACATATGTCATGTTAGTGGAATCAAAAGCATGAATATTCCTACAAAAGAAGGAGCTAAACAGGTAAATAAAAAATACTATAGTACTTACTTTCATCAATTTTATCAATCACTATTGTCTAAAAGATAATTCTTGTTTTAAAATATTTAGTAAAACAGTGTTAACATTAATTGATTTAATTATATGACAACCATTATATTTAAACTTCATCTAAATGTTGATTATTTTAGATTGGTTTGCCAGCTGCTGCTAGAAAGATAATCATTAAAAAAGAGACTCCACTAATACAAACTGCTGATGTGTAAGTAACTACAGCTTATTGGTTATAATTTAAATTGAAAATATACTATTTTATTGGTGCATAAATAACGTTTCTGCTAAGATCATTGTTAATTTTCTGCTTTCTTCCACCCCGTGAATTTTAATGGTATTTAAATTTTATAAGGGTTCCAATCTACAGACTGATTTTTTTAGGTCCATATTATGAAATGACACAAAACTTTCCAAAGTAACAAATGTACTTGAAACTAGAATCTCATCCTGTATAAGAAAATTTTTGTTATCTCAATATGGCTCATAATAGTTTACATAATGATTTTAATGTTTATACATAGAAGGATGATGTGATGATATTATAGATACATCCTAAGTAGCCAAATTAATTTATATTGAATTTTAGGCATAGAAAAATTGAACCAGCTCAAGGAGCAACAGCTGAACCCCAATATGTTGAAATAGATATCATGGAAGATAATGTGGCACAAGATTCTGATGATGATTTCAAGACTGATGATTTTACAAAACCAACGGAGAAGACAGATCCTGACATAGCAGATACGCGTAAGTACCTACCAGATGGATATTTTTTTAGAAACAATGTTTTAAGGTTTCGCCAAAGAGAACGCGCACCACCGATTACCGCGTTAAAGCGTTAATAGAGTTGCAGAGCAGTATTTGACACCATTCCCCAATAATTCTAAAGCACAAGATTTTTAAGAAGGTACTTCATTCTGATTAAAAATGTAATTAATTTTAAATTACCAGTAAATTAAGATTTATATTTGCATTGTAATTGAAAATAAGTAGTTGACATAAAAATAGTGACGTCACAGGCTAGTATTGCCATACAAAATCTATGGGTGAACAGTTTTAAAAAGTACGTCACATTGATTGGTGGACTTGGTGGTGTCAAATACCCTATTCGGCGCTTTAACGCTACGTCACGCTCTAACGCGCGCTAGATACGCGTTCCATAAAAATAAAATGAATGAGACTTGCACAAGTCTAAAATCACAAATGAATACTTTATCTACGATATTTCTTTATAGCGTCATCGAACCTGCAGTTTACCGTATCAATTCGAGGCTCCCTGCAAATAATTCTGAACCGCTACATTTACAATCTGCACTCGAGCAAACAACGAAACGGGATCCGGCGCTGGCGTTGCGTTGACTACCGAAACCATAAATGCAAGGCTTTCGTTGTTACCAAAGGAAACGTAGTCTTAAACAGGTTAGTATGCAGATTTCTCACATCTCTGAATTTATATTTGAAATTTAAAATGAGACTAAATGTTCGTTAAGGTTGCCGAACGTCGCGATGAATACTCATAAGCCACGTGTACAGTAACAGAATGAAAAGGTTCGTCAGTTTTCAAATTGATTCCTTCAACGAATCGCGAGCACATATTACCTTTTGAAACTATGTTACAGAATAGTCTCGATTTAGAGAAAATAATCTTTAACTGTTCGTCAGTAAAGTTCAAAAGTATTCAGATCAAAGTTGTTTGACGATTTATCTTGTCAAGAAGATTATTATGATTGATAAACTAAAACCTTCTTGTTGGTTCAACCTGCCATTATTATTTCTATTAAATAAAAAAAACTACATTTCGTAACATTGCACTGATAGGATAGAAAATTAAACAAGCAAAACCTTATTCTTTAGCAAACGTCATATTTATTTAAATGTTAGCAGCATTGTTTCTTGCACGGTTATGTTGGCAGGTTTGACTCTTACAGTACCTAGTGCAAGCGAAAACCGACACTAAAAATTTCAACAAATAAATAAGACGTCTAAAAAGCGCTATCTATCGTCATTGGTTAAAATCTACAGCGCTTGGCAAACCACTGTTTTTGACATTCGTAAATATTCATGCCGTTTTGACATTCGTAAATATTCATGCCGTCAATCTATCCCGAATGTGCCTTCGACTTGATTTTTGTGTATGTAGCCAAATGTCTACACCATGCGTTTATGCCATAAAATTTTTCTATGGTTTGCTTATTTGGTTTTTTTTTTTCAGCATGTTTGGCTTGCTATCTGAAGAGGAAATTGAGGCAGCTCATGCTGCTTTTAATGAAGGTGCAGTCTCAGAAGATGATGAAAATTTAGATGATGATAATATCGATTTTTACCCAAACGTACGGGATTTATTGCATGGTCTGGATTAGGAGTCCATAGATCATAATCTACCCTTGGAACATAACTATTAACTTGGAACATAATTATGATCTATGGACTCCTCATCANGGTGACGAACCTTTTCATTTCGCGACTGTACATACACGTGTCAAGATATTTGTGAAACTGAAGCGCAACTATGTGAAATGCACGCATAAAAGTTGAATTGACGTCAACAATTTCGTTGATATAATTTATCTTAACTTTTCAGATACCTAATTTAAATATTTGTCCTAATTTTACTATTTGCTATGACTTCACATACACTTTCTCATCGTTTTTGAGAATTTTCTCATACATCTGTCAATTCTTATTACATGTCGGTCACAGGACATTTATTTAATTTTTTTTAAACATACTTAATTATTTTTAGAGCGAATCTTCACAACCACTCGTTTCATGACAAGAAAATACTCTCGAAAATAGAAAAGAAAGCGGTTTACTCTGCGTTAGACGAAGTATATGGCTACAAAGAAAAAGAAGAGGCAAAAATGACGGAAAATGACGCTTCAATGGATCAAGACGACTTCAACATGCTCGACGACTTTGGTACGGGAATGAACGAAATGACGGATAATAATAAAAATGAATTTATCAAAGACAAAATAAATTAGTTCTTTCTTAGTAAGAGTTTAATTTGTCGCTAATGAACTGTCCTCAATGTCCATTCAATAATATTATTTACTAATTTTTAGGCTCTCGTTGCACGGGAATTAGGGTTGCTACACACAAAGCGGCCCAGCATTGTCGGTTTAGCAGTAAGTTACAAAAAAGCCGACGTAAAGTAATTACTACACTTGTTACATTGCTAGCCAATACGTATATTACGGCAAAGTCGAGCGGCATTTTCCCGAAAACATCCACAAGTCTGTTCGATTTTACCATACGGCTGTGCCGATTACCTATTACTGGCCCACTTATGGTGTACGAGTAGCAACCCTCAACACGATACGCGATTTATAACAAAATATTGCCTCTTGCTTTGTTTCAACCGGGTCGCCCCGGCAAGTTTAGTTTCTGGGATTTATAACTCTTTCATAAACTCCTATGTGCTCCATTTACAGTTTACGCAGGGAATGATAAATACTAAACAAAAATAGACACTGACTTCGTGAAGTTCATAAACCTATTTCGGTTTTAGTGCTATCTGTGAGATTTATGCGACTAGGATGGTCAATAACTCGGGCGCGCGGGCGTGCCAAGGCAATATAATATTTACATTATTATTTTATGGCTTTGCTGCATAAAGCAGTATTAATTCTTTAAAAATATGGAAATGAGTTTGTTTGTCACAGTTATTATTTTCTTTTAATTGGATACTGTATTAGATGCAGTACTTACTTAGTAGCCCTTATTAAGATTCTGGAAGTAGGTAATCTGTAAAGGTGAATACAGCGCTGATTTGATTTTTGTAGCAAGCTAGGTAAAAAAATAGGGGTACCTACCAAAATCAGCTACGAGGAATAGATTGTAGTGTTGTGCTCATGTCACGTGGCACAGGTGCAATTTTGTCAAACCAACTTGATACTAAACATAATAAAATACTCCATAACCAGTAAGTAGTCACGACACGACACTACACCAATGGTGGTCGTGTTTTTTCCCCTCAAAGACTTTCTATTGTGTCCATGATGGTGACTGTCGTCCGGCGAAGGTGTCCGCCTTAACAGTAGTTGCAGTTCGTGTAATATAATATCACCACCACCACCGGTGTGTATTCAGAAAAAAGTAAGTAAGTACCTACCTATGCATAAGATTAAATTAACTTTCAGTTGCACAATAAAAATCATTATTGCTACTGTTTCACAATCGGCAACGCCGCAGTAATTATTAACTGGCAGTAAGTAAGTAAATGCCTAATTTATGACATAAAGTTACTTACTTATAACTAAAATGTGGAATCTAATTTTAGTAACAAGTAATAACGTTGTTTCGTGCTTTGATTAACTACTCAAATACATAGATTTGGCGTTATCTTCGTGTCAATAACATACTATTGCTTCATTGCATTTGCAGGAACATGGCATATAATAATTTACTTCTGCTGTTTTTTGTTTTGGTTCTGACTTCGGCCAGTATGAGTCCAGTATCAAATGAATTACAACAAAAACTTAAAAATCCAGCAGTCGTTAAATTTCGAGAATACTTGCGAATAGACACTAGCCGAAGTGAACATTTACGTAAGTTGCAACATTCTTCTTACCGTTGTTAGACTTAATTTGGATTGAGCATTGATCTGTTGCGAGTTGAATAACTGTAGGATCAATTTAAGTTACTCATAGGTACTTACCTATTATTAAATTGGAAAAAACTAACTGATTCCGACAGTAGCTTATCTAAATATATAAAAGGAGAAACTGACTGACTGACTGACAGATCAACGCACAGCCTAAACGGCTAAACGTAGGCACTTGAAATTTGGAAGGGACGTAGCTTAGGTACCGTAGAGGTGCACTAAGAAAGGAATTTCCGAAATTCCCACGGGAACGGGAATTAGCGGGAAAAACGGGATTCACGCGTACGAAGTCGCGGGCGGCCGCTAGTTTTCTATAAATATAAAATATATGATGCCGCCGGTCCACCTTGTGGGTGAACGTCCCACGCCGCGTTTTCCGGTACGCGGCGTCCACTCCAGAACCTTGCTGCCCCATCGGCCGTCAGTTCTGCGTACTACTTATGTGCCCTGCCCATTGCCACTTCAGCTTGCTAATCCGTCGGGCTATGTCAGCGACTTTAGTTCGTTTACGGATCTCCTCACGCGCCCCCAGGAAAGCGCTGGACGCAGGCCGCTACCAACCGGCAACATGGAAAGTATTGGGGGAGGCCTATGTTCAGCAGTGGACGTCCTATGGCTGAGATGATGATGATGATGATAAAATATATAAATTCATACAGATCAGGCTGTGGAATTCTGGAAGCGGCAGGCAAGCGAAGTGGGCCTAGATTTCGCAGTGTACTTCCCAGCAGGCAAGCCGGTTTGCGTGCTAACGCGCGTCGGGGCCAACCCCGCCCTGCCCAGCATTATGCTCAACTCTCATATGGATGTCGTTGAGGCTGACCCAGTAAGTGTGCCGAGAATAGAATACATACTTAGTTCCAACAGAAGGATCACTTCGCCAGCCAATTCATTTAAAAACGCACATTAAGAGTCGTGACACGATGCAACGTCGTATCATGTACACGTGTAAGAGCACACCACGTTTCTTTCAGGCGCCGTCGATGGGCATTTTTTTATCGCGCATTGCTGCGCTACTAAATCAGATTACCTTGCGGAATGGGTAAACTGCGGAGTGACTCCCAGGGTTCATAAATACAGGCTGTATTTACACTGATAGCGATGAACCATTGCACTGTATAATACAAATGTCTCTTTACAACAGACTGAATGGACTTATCCACCTTTTGCGGCGCACGTAGACGATGACGGCAACATCTTCGCTCGTGGAACTCAAGACACCAAGGATATAGCCATCCAGTACCTGGAGGCGGTCAGGCGGATCAATGCCCAGAATGTCACCTTGCAACGCACTATCCACATCACTCTTATGCCTGGTAATTGCATCTATGGGTGTATTCATACTTACAAAAATAGCACAGAAATATAATATTGCATTTTATTCTGAAGGTGATACAATACGTAATGGTGAAAGGTTCGGTCAAACCAACGCGATCAGCCGGCGTGCAGCGATGGCAATCAGCGCCATCGTTGCACGCGATCGCGTGTGATCGCTTTTGTTTGCCTGAAACTTAATTAATCATTGACTTTGATGAAATGAGAGACTACTTTAAGTAAGTTGTCTGTGTTAGTAGACATTGGCGTCTAGCAAATAGTGGACCTAGGCGTCCAGTTCAGGTGCTTACCGGGACCTTCATCAGATTTATCGGTCCACCTAGTTGGATGCCTGCCCCTATAATAAAGCAGCCTTGTATACTTACAGATGAAGAAACAGGCGGATTTCAGGGCATCAGGCCATTTATTAAAACGCCAGAGTTCAAGGCGTTAAACATTGGTTTTGCTTTGGACGAGGGGGGGGCATCCCCCACGGACGACATGTTCGCCACGTATCAAGATCGGAGAGCTTGGTGTAAGATTGTTAAGCATTTACCTACTTACTTTACTAATAACTTAAAAAAACTCATAGTCTAGATACATATAGTAAAAACATGTAGAGCGCCCATTCGAATGCAAATGAAACTTAATGCTACATACATTCTCAGTCAGATAACGATTCAATTCGCTAGGCAGTGCTTTAAAAGCAAAAGAAAATAAAATACGACTGCCCTGGAATTGTCTGGAATCTAAAAATTCTAGGAGCCGGACTTATGATTGTATTCATAATTATTATTCAGTACAGTAATAGAGGTGTAGGTAAATCAAGGTTTGAACGGGATTGTTTTGGTAAATCGGGACTAATCCCACTCTTTCCAATCACTGCAACTTCTGTACTTATCAGTCACGCTACAATTTGGCCCAGAACACACGGTGAAACGCAATTGCAACGAAACTGCAACTTCTAGTTACTTTTGAGTTGCATCTAAGTTTCTGCCATAGATTCCGTTGAGAGATCACACATGACGCGACCATTTCAAACCGGTTTCAAACTGGTGTTCCGGGCCTTTGGCTTCAAATGAAACTCAAAATGAAGGTTGAATAGGTACCTAGTCCCTATTGCATAGGAACGCCAGAATTATCTTTTTGAATAATTTACAGCTATAGCAATAACAGTTAACGGAGTCGGCGGCCATGGATCAACCATGGCATCTGATGTTGCTATCAAAAAGGTATGTTGTGTAACTGCGGACGACGACATCAAGTTTAAAACTTAGGCACATTATGTAGTTGTAGGGAACTACATTAAATAGATGATGTAATCTGCGTACCTATGCCATTTCATCTGCGTATTTGTCTTCTTTTTTAACTGAGAATGTGGCAAATTGTCGCAATTGGATAAGGATTAAAAACCACATTATTATTATAATTAAATGTTAGAACAGGTGTGTGTATACAGGTAAGTAATTATTTACTAAAAAACAATCATAAATTATAACTGTACAAAGCTGTTTAAATAATCACACAGTTAAGTAATTGGTATGTTTTAATGTTATTGAGTTAAGATGTATGTAACGTTGTTGAAACTTTGAATAAACGTTTGTTTCCAGGAAACAAAATTATCTTTATTGTTTATTAATTCGCCTTACAAGTCAAATACAGAATAATACAACGAGCGTGGGTAAATGTTTATCCTAAGTAACAAAACCACTATCATTGTTTATGGATCACAAATATTATTGTTTTGAGATTTATCCATAATTTTCCTACAATATGAATTTACATTTTTGTTTGTATTATGTACCAGATGCACCTACATGAAACTCTATATTATCCCTTAGGTAATTCAAGTACATAAGTATAATAGCTATACCAGGTACAGTCAGCGTTAAATATTCGTGCCACCCAAAGTGGCCAATAAGTTAGAATTGGAATAAGGTTGTGTTGTCAACTTTTAGGCCACTTTGGGTGTCTCGAACTTTTTGACGCTGACTGTACATAAAATGCACAACCGAAAAGGAATGAGGGGTTATTCTACTACACAATTAATACTTTTGAGATCTCATAGAAAATACACTTGTATACAATGTTTGGAAGCATTTTTTTGGAGGACCCTTGTAATATTTCGTTTACTTTCAGCTGCAACGGTTGATAAATGTGATGATGGAATACAGGGAGATGCTTGAAAAAGCTTTGGAATCAGCTGATAAAGCTACGTATGGGTTATATCCAACACTGAATATCGATATGATTAATGTAAGTGATTAAACATACTTAACTTAAACTGTGCAACATTTGTAACAAGATTGCCTTTTTTGGTTACAGGGTGGAATGGCCCCAAACGTGATACCGGAAACATTCACTCTGGTGGCCGACATGAGATTTCCTCCTACTGAAAACGCTACTGACATGTTGTCCCTGGTAAATAATGCTATTTAAGTATAGGCACATATACTTAAAATCTGAAAATAATATTTCGAATAGTTATTTATATGAGATTTAGCTTGACGCGTTCATTGCAATTCCATATAAATGGAAGCGCTTTTTTTTGTTTATCATCATCATCATCATTTCAGCCACAGAACGTCCACTGCAGACCTCCCCCAATATCTTGGTTGACCTAAAAGATTTACCTACAAAAAAAATGCTTTTATTTTATTTAAACATTGCATTTCGTTACTTAAAGGTATATTCGTGGGCGGCGTTTGCTGGCAATGGAACAACGGTTAAGTTTTTGAGACGAGAAATGGAGTCGCTCGCAACTCCAATAGATGAGTCCAACCCTTATTGGGTCACTATGAATAAAACCATCACAGATTTGTAAGTAACGTTGGATTTTATGGAGAACAGAACGACAGAGTGATGCCTGAACTTATTGTAACATTGTCAATTTGCATCAAAATCCGTTCAACAGTTGTTATTTTAAGAAGTAACAAATTCATCTTCACGAACTTACGTTTTTATTGCAAATTGAAAGGTCACAATTTAGGCGGTCTTATTGCTAAGAAGCGATCTCTAGACAACTCAGGGAGATAATTAAGAGGAAAGCTTGGTACAGTATTTTTTCCTTTCTTCAGGGGTTACAGACTGATCACAGGGGTGTGTCCCGGGACGACCGATATGTTCGATATTCGCAACATCGGCATCCCGGCTATCGGGTTCGCGCCCGAACGTTGGACCATCAGCCGATTGCACCAGCCCAACGAGTATCTGAACATCGACGTGTTTCTAGAAGGCATCGATATCTACGTCCCCCTCATCACTAATCTGGCAAATTTGCCTGAAAAATAAATAGGGTAGTAGACACCACTGTAATATAAACCAATGAATGACATACTTTTTTGAGCTGCTAAAATGAGACTACCCTATAGTAGAATCCCAACTTAATATTATAAATGCGAAAGTAACTCTGTCTGTCTGTCTGTCTGTCTGTTACGCTTTCCCGCTTAAACCTCGCAACCGATTTTGATGAAATTTGGCATAGAGATAGTTTGAGTCCCGGGAAAGAACATAGGATAGTTTTTATCCCGGTTTTTGAAACAGGGACGCGCGCGATAAAGTTTTTCTGTGACAGACAAAATTCCACGCGGGCGAAGCCGCGGGCGGAAAGCTAGTAAAATATATGCAGGGTGGAATTTTGTAACGCCACCTAGAGGAAAAGTACTGTTAATACTGTAGATAGAAAATTTTACTCAAAGAAAACATTCCTTTATTTTTGAAAAGAAAGAGAACTGCATTCAGGATCACCACCATACCATAGATTTTTCTGTAAATAATTAAAATAATTTAAGATTTCATGGTTTTCCGTTCATTAGATTCATCAAGTTTGTTAGAGAGATTTGATCCTTATACCGATCGATGTAATAAAAAACAGGGTGTAATTTTTTACAGATTTTAGTTGGTTTGATTCCCGGGTGTGGCAAGCAAATTTTTGGAAATCTTTGAATGCAGTTGCAAATTTTTTTCAAAAATAAAGGAATGTTTTCTTTCAATAAAACTTTCTATCTACAGTATTAACAGTACTTTCCCTCCAGGTGGCATTACAAAATTCCATCCTGTATTATCAATGAAAATGGGACTATGTCATCAGTTCGTGAATTCAATTAAGCAACTATTTATTATCAAAGCTACTAAAAATATACGTAAAAAATGCAATTTTACAGTTTTCAGCGCTAGAATGAAGTGTTTTTAACGAAGTCTCGACTTGGGTTGATGGTGTCAACTTCTCAATTGCGACTCTATCGAATCGTCCCCTTTTGTTGGCTCTTCCACAGTTGAATGTACACTTAATACCTACTTATTGAAAAAACTGCATAAATTACTTGTGAGTGAAGTTATAAATTTGAAAAGTTGCCATGCGATTATATTCATAAAATAAAGCACTGTACAGAATATTGTTGTTTGGCCTTAAGATTTTGACTCTATAACTACCTTACATTGTATCCATTCACAACCGTGGAAATTACTTCGTTACGTTCACGTTCCTAGTAAGTATCATGGTATAAAAACATGTGTCTTTATTCATTGATTTACTCTGCGAATAAGTAGTTTGGCAACCCTACTGACTGTAAACTTACCTAAAATAATCCTTTTCATTCATATGTTTTGCCATACTTATAGCACGGTTTCAGTATCACCAACGGTGCGCCCCTAGGCGGACACGCTAATAATAGTCATCTGTGTTCATTTAATATGGAGAGCTTTGTAAACAGGTGAGTATATACATGAATTTTTTTGCTTTCAGTTCATGTTTTGGATTTATTTTTATATATTTATATTATTTTATTTACTTTTATTGGTTACTCTGCAATGCCAAACAACATAATACTTATGTAAAAATATCAAATCATTTTAGACAAATATATTTTCAACTTAGACTCGTCATATCTCAGAATTCCCATATGTCACAACATAGCGCTTTAAGTGAATATACCTACAAGTATAAAGCTTTTGAAATAAAATACGTTTCATCTTTGTCCGTGGGGAATTTTGTCACAGTAAAGTTCCCAATGTTCTTTTAAATGTACCTAATGAGTATTTGTACCAGAGCCGGCTGAAACGTGTTTTTACTAGGTTAACATTTAAATCAAACATGCATTTTTGCGATTTGACCCCAGCCCATTCTTAAATTACGTGTTATTCAATTTATAAAAGTTTCAATGGCTAACACTGAGGTAAGTTTTGTAGAGTTTGAGTTAACTAGTATTTACTTGACCGAACTCCGGTACTTTCAAGTGGAGATTAATCAAAAACTTACGTTAGAGTTAATTTAAAAACTGCAGGCAGTACTCGTAGTAGATACGCTTAATTCATTTAATAAAACAAAGTAGAGTCCCACTGTTTACGAATACTTATCGTCTTTTTGTTCCGGTATTAATTTATTAGTGGCTCACGTCTAATCAGAAATAACATGTTTCTTTAACTATAACAAGTTTTTGAATACATGGCATTTCCATCTGTTTAGTAGGTAGATCATCGTGCTGTGTAGGGAAACCAAACCTTTTGTTTAAGTTTTTACAAAATGCTATCAGTAAGGTGTCATCAATGTTTAAGATTTTGTTTACTTCGGAAAACATATTTCGATTTTCAAATGAGATTTTATCCGTTGCACTCTGTCTGTCGATAAAGATCAGGTTTCACTAACTAAATCTGTGTCTGTCTGACGTTGATGGACTTTATCAGCAAATAAATGTTATCGGGACTATTTCCACCTCTCGTTCCCACCGCGCTGCAACTCCCGTGTGCAGAATAGGTACAGCTTGACTGTCAATAAAATCCAACCAGTGAAGGTCAAGTTTGGGAAAATTAAGCTGTCATTGGACCCGCAACGAAATTAATTATAGCCTGACCAGGAACATAAAAACCCTGGCATAGAGGCGCTNTTTTATAATAAATGACATTGGGAACATTTTGCCCCACTTTTCAAAAAGTAGCGGACACAAACGAAATCTGTCACAGATGATACATACCTACTAATATCCAATGAATTTCCGTGCATTTTCTTTTTCTCTCTTATATGGGAATATTGAGAAAATGAAGTTAAATATTTTATTTTATTTTACATTTAAACTTTTCATTGCATCTAAATATTAATAATATCATCACAAAAATACGCCAAATGACTACGATTATGCGCGCTGCGGCTCAGCAGGGTCTAGTCAGGTAAAAAATAAACCGGTTTCGCTGCCTACGCGCATCGCTCGAACACCCAATACGCAACTCGCAGTCCTTCGTCATCTGTCTGTGTTCTGTGCGCTCCCATGTTTTTTCGTGGTTCGTCGTTCCCGATTTCCATAACACAAATGCCTTAGCTACTTATTTTGGGTTGGAGTAATGTATGAGATGTTGTCTAATATTAATTTATTTATATTTTTTATTTATTTATATTATTTTATTTACTTTTATTGGTTACTCTGCAATGCCAAACAACATAATACTTATGTAAAAATATCAAATCATTTTAGACAAATATATTTTCAACTTAGACTCGTCATATCTCAGAATTCCCATATGTCACAACATAGCGCTTTAAGTGAATATACCTACAAGTATAAAGCTTTTGAAATAAAATACGTTTCATCTTTGTCCGTGGGGAATTTTGTCACAGTAAAGTTCCCAATGTTCTTTTAAATGTACCTAATGAGTATTTGTACCAGAGCCGGCTGAANTTAAAATAGGTAGTTGAAACAAACCACAGCTAATTTTCATAGTGGACTGTACTATGCGATAAACATGTCAGTCAATTTGACAACCTTTGTCGGAAACATTATTCAATGAAAATATTGTCCGAACCCTTAGTATTTCTCTTCGAGAAATACTTTAACACATTTCTTTCACGACTATAAAAAGATTTTAGCAATTTAATTCACAAAATCAATTGCGCACATTTAAAATAAAGTTTGTTTATACTTTGACAGCAATAGACTGACATGCAAGGTGACATGACAATGAAGTTTTCAGTTATTGTTGCCATTAAAAGAAATTAGTACCATTAGTTTTCCGCAACATGGCGAGGGTTTTTATGTTCCTGGTCAGGCTATAAGTAAGAATCTTTTTCGGAATAATGATGATATCATTCCTTATGTTCCGCATACGTAGTAACATTGTCTAAGCCCTAAGGTGACACACCCAAAACGGGCCACGGGGTGATGACCATCATAAAGATATAAAAAAGAAAAAAATCGTTATCAATGTCCTCTACATTGATAACGATTTCGCCCTATGCTAATATATTTATTTGAATATGATATTTCTGTTTGTTGATGGGTAAAAAAGATCATCCTTTTACTAAAGTGAGAGCGTGCACGTTCACTCTATTCTAAACTAATAATAATAATCGGAAGGTAAGACAACATTTTACTCTTAAAATTCGAACAGATTTAGAAGAGCTCAAATGTTTCTTACCTTGCAAATTGTGTAAGAGTGTTTCTCACTCACTATCTTATTTTTTTACTTTACGTTTCAATATTTTTTTCTGGTGCCTACTGAAGCATAACATTGATAATAAGTAAATTGATTATTACCTACTTCTTCGGCTTCAATTTAATCAAAATTAAGACGAAATAAAAATTGTTAGTTACCGTTTTAGTGCGGGCTAAATGGGTTGACTTTGTTTATCTTTGTTTTCAGAATTTATAAAAACATGGCATATAAATTGCTGTTGCTGTCCTTCGTTCCGTTTCTGACTTCAACCGTCATGGCCAGTCCACTGCCAAACAAATTACAGGAACAACTGGAAAACCCAGCTGTTGTTAAATTTCGAGAATACTTGCGAATAGACACTAGCCCAAGTGAGAATTTACGTAAGTAGCAATAATATTATGATCTAATTTTTTTAGCATTTTGTCAGTTAGGCATCCCGTCATCGCAAAAAATTAAGTTAATTAACTCAATACTTTTTATTGGCATAGTTTTTATTGGCATTCCTGTTTCCAGTGTGGCAGACATTGCTAAGATAATATACCTCGTTAAAAAATATAAAGCATTATAAATGTATGTACCTTGCATAACACTCAAAATTAGACTGTTAGACATACACTATTTTTAATATTTCTTATGCCATCGCCGGCGGGACGGGTCGCGTGAACTGTCATGGGTCGCGCGACCTGTCATTGGCCTTTGATCGCACTGGATGGCGATGGCGATCTGCACGCGTTGATGTGGCTGAAGCTTTTGGCAAGGTAATGTGTAATGTTTCTTTATTATTTTTGTACAGAGGAGGCCGTGGAATTCTGGAGGCGGCAGGCCGCCGACTCAGGGCTTGATTTTGCGGTGTACTCGCCGGCCGGCAAGCCGATATGCGTCCTAACGCGCGTGGGCGCCGACCCTACCTTGCCCAGCATCATGCTCAATTCCCACATGGATGTGGTTGCAGCCGTGCCAGTGAGTTACTTCGTTCGTTTCAACGGAATTCCGTCCACTGCTGGACAAAGGATGCCCCACGGATTTCCACAATGACCGGTCCTGCGTTGCCCGCCCTGGTGCCGCGACCTTCACCTGACAGGTCCATTGAATAGGAGGACTGCCTATACTACGTTTTCCGGTCCTTGGTCGCCACTCGAATCAGTGTCTGCCTACCTGTAGCACGAAAAACTTTCGTCTACGAGTATAGATATGCCTGTTAAGAGCGGTTACTGTATTAAGTTTTATCTAGGAGCTCAACAGCTCAAAGTTGCAATTTTTAGTTAATCATCAACCTAATTCAACTCCTCCCATTAAAGTCACTTAGAACGCTTTCCAGTTACCTGAGCAAGAAGCAAAGTTCTTCCTTTGGAAATGTAATGAAAAAGATACAGTGATGTTTTTTTTATTTAAAAATATTTAAATTGCAACCTACATCGATTGAAACACGCAATAAAAGTAGAGTTTTTGATAGCTTATCTCCAAAAAATAGTATTTAAACATGCATAAAAAGTAGGTAAGTATTACTGCACTAGTAAGTATACCACTATGCTGTAAATATTTAACAACAGACCGCATGGACCTATCCACCTTACGAGGCGCAAGTGGACAATGATGGCAACATCTACGGGCGCGGAGCTCAGGACACCAAGGACGTAGCCATCCAGTACCTGGAGGCGGTCAGGCGGATCATTGCCCAGAATGTCACCTTGCAACGCACTGTACACATCACTCTTATGCCTGGTAAATAAATTGTATTTCATCCAAGAAAACGTCATTGCTTGCCAACCTTCACTTGTTGTGTTTCACCTTCACTTGCATTGGTGGAAAAGGAGGTGTGATAAGTACCGTTTTGTTTGTTATTCGCCAACAGCCATGGATGACCTTGGCTTATTGAGGACAAAGGAGGGAATTCTTTCTAGTCTGTGTTACCGATTTAATACAGGATTGGACTCCAAGTCCCAGATCTTCTGGGTTTAAGTTAGTTCAATAACTAACATTCTCACATCCTCTGAGATTGCAATGTTGGCTCAACTACTTACTTATCCGTTCAATAAAATAGCAGAAAGTACTTTTATGAGATAACCTTTTGTTACTTGGAACCCCTAATTAAAGAAAAGACTGCTTCTAGGTCACATGCAGGTTTACCTACCTTACTTATCTCGCCGTGCTAGATTATAGTAGGTAGGTAATTGCACTACCTTCTTGCCTACTTTACAAAAATGAAGTAGGTAGGCATGTGATGTGTCTTTTTGGTAAATATCTTACTAAATTACATGTTTTTGTAAAGACAGACACAGGTCCGGTTTCCACCAAAGCGAAGCGGAACGGAGACGAGAGGAGATGTGCGGTAAAGCTGGCAGGTTATTCCCACCAAAGCAGAGTGGAGAAGAGCGGAAACGAGAGGAGCTGTGTGGGCTGCACGAAGCTGTCAGTCTATTGCCAAGAAAGGAAAACACACTGCGCCGCTCAGCACAGCTTCGCTCCGCGCCTGCCGCCGATGCTGTCAAATCTAGAGAAAAATGAGTCCGCCCGACACATTTCTCTTCTCCGCTCGATCCATTTCCACCGAAACGGAGCCGGGAAGAGATGCGGAAATAATGAATTCTAATTGGTTATTCAAAACACGTACATCTCCGCTCCGCTCCGGCTTGGTGGAAACCAGGACCGTCATTATAGCTTCATGCTTAAATTATTGAAATTCGATTCGCTACTTTAGTAAAATAACACCCATGTTTAATTTACAAGGTGTCACTTCATACTTTTAGTAGGTATATTTTGTAAATTGCTAAAGAGCCATGAAGATAATTATTTATGCCTTTATTTTTTATTTCAGATGAAGAAACAGGTGGATTTGAGGGAATTAGACCTTTTATAAAAACGCCAGAGTTCAAGGCGTTAAATATCGGTTTTGCATTAGACGAGGGGCTGGCAAACCCGACTGACGACTTGTATGCTACATATCAAGATCGGAGAGCTTGGTGTAAGATTATGCTTCAATTGTTTGTTATGATTGCTGTATTTTATTAAGTCTTATCAGTAAATAGGAGCATTGTCTGTCTGTACTATTTCAAGACATGGTAAGCGCGATGAGCGTTCACTCGAACGCTCTTGATGGCATGAGAAATGTAAGAAAAGTGAAAAATAATATCAGGTGTTTTCCGCCGACTCTAGGTTTAATAAATATAACTGCATGCGTAGACTGCATATAAAGGAGGTTTTCTGGGAGTTTTTTTAAAGAATACTTATTAGCAATTTATAAATACAAATTAATTAATAATCCCGTTACCCGATACCCCTCGTGGTAAGCTAAGCTAATCTATAGTACTTAAGTACATATTATCATTTGGAACTAACAGTATATTACCAATTTTTTTTTTTGTAGAATAGGTAGCATAATTAGAATTTTTTGGGAGGTTGGAATCTAATGTTGAATGTTTCCAGCTATACAAATAACAGTCAAGGGAAAGAGCGGCCATGGATCATCGATGCCAGCTGATATTGCTATCAAAAAGGTAGGTACCTAATGTTTTACCATTAAATAAATTTTAAATTGCGTGTTCTGTTAGATTACATTACCTAGGTTTCTTTATGACTTCTGTTTGATAACACTTACTAACAATAACACGTCGTTATTTTATTTTATTCGGGCAGTAAAGTTAAATCTATTCGTTTTCACGTTTGGGAAACACCTTTTAAAATAATTAGTTTTGCTTTCAGCTGCAAAGGCTAATAAACGTGATGATGAGATACAGGAAACCACTCGAAAAGGCTCTGATATCAGTGCCTAGTATAAGAAATGGGTTTTATACAACTCTGAATCTTAACATGATCAATGTAAGTGGCTAATGCTCTGGTGGCTCTTCCTTGTTTACATATTATTTTTGTTTTAAAATAAACGGTAATTTATTATTATCATTACAGGGTGGAATGGCCCCAAACATTATTCCGGAAACCTTCACTCTGGTAGCTGATATGAGACTGTCTCCTGAAGAAAATGCAACTGAGATACTATCCCTGGTATGTGATCAATTAAGTTAAAAAGTAACAAATAGTTATGCTGTGCTTTCTAAACTGGCTACTTAAACTTTCACTGGTTAGCTTTTTATTGGCTGTCTTGATGTAGATCACGGCTACACAGGGATTGTAACGGTATGGACTAGAGGTGGGAATAGTCCCGTTGTGTTTTCGAAATCACGCGCGATTTGCGCACTCCTAACATAGGATAATAATTTCTAGGTAAACTCATGGGGCGCGTTTGCTGGGAACGGAACAACAGTGGACTTCTTAAGACGAGAAATGGAGTCGCTGGCAACTCCTATAGATGAAACCAATCCTTATTGGGTTACTATAAATGAAACCATAACACACATGTAAGTTTTATAGGTATCTACTAGTTATGAAGACAGATGTCTATTAAAGTGGGCAAAGTACGCTCTTACTTTCAATTCCCAAGCGATTCCTTCAAAAACATTTAGATAAGATTCCTCTTAGGGTAAAATATTGCAGATAATAAGATGTAACAGTAGGGGATCAAACACAATCAGTCAGTTGGTTAGTTGACATCATTGACCAATAAATCCAAGACAATCTTAAAAAACACTTTCTAGCACTGGAACTCATTGTTCGCTACCCTATTGAGGGTTAAGAGCGCTGTTAATTCGTTAAGTTGAGAATCTTTACGATATGTAACACTTCTACTCATCTTATTTTTTCAGGGGCTACAACCTGGTCCCAGTGGTCTGTCCGGCTACGTCAGACATGTTGCACATCCGTAACATCGGCATCCCGGCCATCGGGTTCGCGCCCAAACGCCGCACCACGAGCCGCATGCACGACATCGACGAGTATCTAAACATCGATGTCTTTCTAGAAGGCATCGATATCTACGTCTCCCTCATCACTAATCTGGCGAATTTGCCGGAGAAGAAAATGGACTGTACAGAATAACTTAAAGAAGCGACCAAGTAGTTTGTATTACACGTCTCGCGTCTGATTGAAACCAGTCACATTTTATTTTAATGTAGAGTTACCATAACATGCGTACGTAAATAGTATAATTTATGATTTAGCTTTGTACAGCAAATATTATAAAAATATACTCACATAAACAACACCAACATTTTTATTCTTCGCCTTTTGAGGAGGTATTTAATTAAAATTGTGAAAGGTAGAGCCTGCTGTACTAAAATATGAACATTAGGCTATTACTTTTCGTTGAATAATGAACCTAATAGTTGGTTAATGTATCGTCCGTAATTAAGTGTTGTTACATGTATTTAATAGAAAGATCATAGAAAATATTTTTAAGACACCCTGTATTCTAATCCACTTTTAAAAACATCCACATTTACCAATGTTATAGCCCTCTAATCGCACTGTACTTTGTAGAATGGGCAAGAATAGCACTTCACTTCCGGCAAATATTGGCTCTCGTCTTTTCGGCCACGCGAGGCTGACGGCTCGACTGATCACTGAGCTACGCAATTACAGGAACACAAACTTGTTAATTAGAACTAGATGTGGCAATCTTCGCAAAATAATACTTTACGAGACAAGTATGTTTGTCAAATTGAGTTTCCACAGTATTAGAGTACCTACCTAAGTTTTTTGCACCAGTAAAATTTCCTTTTCATCTTACTTTCTCCCAAGTAAATAAAATGGAATTTGTAATCAATTTAAAAATACATTCATTATACCGTTCTAAGATTCTTTTCCACATTGACCTTTTTTGTTAGTGCAGATTTGTAGGAACGTTAGAAAGATCATTCAAAGCTACACCGTAAATCCAAGAGTTACAGAATAAACCGTACTATGCTCTTTCGGGGTAACATTTATCTACCGCAGACTAAAACGGAATTTCACTTTAATTTTCGCCTTTGTTTCAACGTTTGCACCTAAATCTTTAGACCAACACTCGGCACTCTCAGTAATGGGTGCCTTCCCATCGTACGTGCCGGGACATTTTTAAAAGGACTTTTTCGCGACCGCCGGCGTGTTTGAAGAGCCGGCGGGCGGCGGCGGCGGCTCGCCGGATTTAGCGCTCGTCACGCTTTTAGCGTACAAATGAATGCTGCCGAATAATAGGGATTTTGTATGTAAACAAATTAGTATTTGATTGAGGANTTCTGCCATCTTAATAAGTAGTTGGTCTACTGCTAGGGTCCATAAAAGTGGGGATAGTACGCCTCCTTGTGGACATCCTCTTGTGGCAAGAAATTCAAGCTTTGCAGCATTGAGGGTTATGTTTACTACTCGGTTGGAGAGCATGTTTTTTACCCATCTGATGGTGCTTATATCAATCCCTTTTGCCTCCATTCCTTTTAGAATGGTTTCTATAGGGGTATTGTCAAATGCACCTTCAACATCAAGAAAAGCACATAGGGCCGTTTGCTTATCCTCTAGGGATTTTTGCACCTTGTCGACCAGATCGAGCAGGGCTGTTTCAGTAGATTTTCCCTTTTGGTATGCATGTTGGTTGATGCTTAGTGGTCTTTTCACTAAGTATTTGGCTCTAATGTGCTGGTCTATTATCCTTTCCATGGCCTTCATCAGGAAGGATGTTAGACTTATGGGTCTGAAGGATTTGGGTTGTGAGTAGTCCCTTTTCCCCGTTTTGGGTATAAAACGAACTTTGACCCAATTCCACGGTTCTGGTATAATGCCCCAAGCGTAACTTGCTCTGAATATTTTTACCAGATGCGGGAGAAGTAAGTTATTTCCNCGGGCGGCGGCGGCGGCTCGCCGGATTTAGCGCTCGTCACGCTTTTAGCGTACAAATGAATGCTGCCGAATAATAGGGATTTTGTATGTAAACAAATTAGTATTTGATTGAGGAAACAATGTGGTGAGTGTTCTAGCTTGTTAGTACGAAATTGGAATGTAGAGAAGCCAAAGAATCAACGAAATTGGAATGTTGAGAAACAGTTTCGTTCTTAGGAATACTGAATCTTAAACAAATCTATGTGTGAAACTCGTAAGAACCTGATCTAAACTTAAATACCTTCATAGATACAAATAATGATGGATGTCTGATGGATTAATACCAAGTTTGCTTGATGCCTATTTCCAAGTTGCAGCAGTATAAAGTGGCCCCAAGCGCCTACGCCAACAATAAATTATAGCTACCTTCGGCAAAGTTTTTAAACGGTGGGTATAGTTGGTTGCGAGTGGCACGCGGCGTTTTAATATTAATTTAGCGCAGACCGCCGGAGGGCGCGCGCGCTAATTGAAATAAATTGTCACGCTGGCTGTCGCCGGGACATAAATCAGAGCCGCCGCCGGCGACCGGTTAAGTGCCTCTACGCGCGGATTGGGACCGGCGAATGGATAGACAGGGCCCGCTTTACGNCTAAAGATGTTGGAGGCCTTATTCCAGTCTGAGCATTTAGCCCTATGGAGTTCATCATTCCTTTGGGTATTGCTTTGTGTATTGATTTGGTACGAACCCGGAAAGTGTGAAGACCTAAGGAGATCCAGAGTCTCCATCTCGGTGTTCGTAAATGAGTTATCTGGCTTCTTTAGTAGTCCAAGATAGTTGTTTGGGGTCTTAGCGAGGATTTTGTGAATTCTTGCTCCTTTGTTAGTTTGTGCAATTTCTTCACAGAAGCGTCGCCAAGAGGCTCTTTTAGCTTTTCTGATTCCACCTTGTAGGTGGAATATCCAATTTATACAAAGTTATAGATTTGACAAAATAGTAGTTAATTGATTCATTTTAACTATCAAATAAACAAATACCACTTGCTATTAATATAGTTCTCATGCAATTTTAAGGCAGTTGCTGAAGAATAATCTGTAGCTGTTTAAAGCAATATTAGCCTTGGAAAATAACATCAGCAGGTAGGTACTTAGTTGGGCTAGGAATAGAACCACGTATCGGAAAGTGCAGCGCAGCATGGGACGTCTATCCACAAAGTGGACAGATGACCTCATTAAGGTTTCTGGAATGCGCTAAATATGCTGAGCCGCTGCCAACCGGCTAATCTGGAAATCTTTGGGGGATGCCTATGTTCAGCAGTGGACGTCCTGCGGCTGAAATGATGATGATGATCATAAGACTTTGGCCATCATTTTACTGTGGAACAGCTTGTTACTTTCTTTTTTTCTTTATAGGGTTTTGGTATATGCCCTGTCTAATCTTCTCCGAGGTCCCGTCAAGGGATGACGCTATAAGAGACAGCGCGCGACGAATTAATTCAGCCAAACGCGGCGGCGCGGTTCTTCGTAGTGCTCATTTGTCACCGCACAGGTGCGCGGTCGCAGCATCCACTCCCACGCACTAAGCACGCGCTCGGCTCGCTAATGTGGATAAGACATTGGCCATCATTTACTGATGGAACAGCAAGTTACCTACTTTCTTTTAGGGCTTTTTAGACCAGTTTCAAATAAACTCGATAGTGACAACAAGTAAAACGTCATCTACTTACAAAAAACCTACATCCTGGATCTTTTGTTGATAGTCTGTCCAATCATCATCATCTTTTACTATCTCGTATACGAGTAATGTAATGAACTAGTTTTTAATTAATTTTATTTAAATGACTATGGTTATTTTACCTACTTGGGTAGGGTTACAACAACTACATACACATAAAAATCTTGTATGACTAGATAGCAGTAAAATATAATTTAATGTAGATAATTATCTTCATATTGATAAATCAATATTATTCTCAAGCGAAAACTGAATAATATAAAGATCAATATCCACTAGTCATCACACTTGAATAAATCTGCTCACTTCATATAGTGATGTTCCGCTTCTTGTTACTTAATGATACTCGCGGCAATGTATGAAAACCCCCGAGCTGTTAAATGAGTCGTCGTTACGTGTATGACAGCGCACCCACTTTTGTTCCGAGTTACGAAAGCAGTGTTCATTTCGCACAAATGATGGACAACCCTATCTAATGCTGTTACGGCAAAAATGTTGTAAGTACTTTAATGTTAGTGAAAAATAGACTTTCAGCGACTATTTGTGATGTGAAAAATGCTAATATCACCATACAATATTATTCTGTGATATCACTGTATGCGTGTACTCTTCTACTTACTTTGTCAAGGATTCAAGGCTCGGTAAAAACGAGACTTTATTTATTCAAAATCCAATTAACTCCAAGACCTGATTAAATTACAAAAGTAGGCATATATCTTTAAAGTAGGTAAGTTTTACTCGATTAATTCGATAATTTAACAAAGTTCAGATACCCAGGTAGGTACAATCAATTAAGAAAAAATAATGAGCAATTGAAAAGCATCACATAAGTAAAGTAGAAGAAAGAAGACACTTTTTAATAAGAATAATTGGCATTCAATTAGATCTAAAATCATAAAAAGAAGAAGCTATTTTAATAAATTAAAGACATTGTTTACATTACAAAGAGGGCTTATNCTTAATGATATTACTCGCGGCAATGTATGGAACCCCCCGAGCTGTTAAATGAGTCGTCGTTACGTGTATGACAGCGCATCCACTTTTGTTCCGAGCTACGAAAGCAGTATTCATTTCGCACAAATGATGGACAACCCTATCTAATGCTGTTACGGCGAAAATGTTGTAAGTACTTTAATGTTAGTGAAAAATAGACTTTTAGCGACTATTTATGATGTGAAGAATGCTAATATCACCATACAATATTATTCTTTGATCTCACTGTATGCGAGTACTCTTCTACTTTGTCAAGAACTCAAGGCTCGGTAAAAACGAGACTATGTATTCAAAATCCAATTAACTCCAAGACCTGATTAATTATGTCTAAAATGTTTTGTTGTTTTGGCTATACATCTCTAAATTACAAAAGTAGGCATATTTTTTTAACGTAGGTAAGTTTTACTCGATTAACTCGATAATTTAACAAAGTTCAAAGACGCTCAGGTAGGTAGGACAGTTAATTGAGAAAAATAATGAGATATTGAAAAGCATCACTTTTAAGTTAGAAAATACTTTTTAATACGAATAATTGGCATTAAATTAGATCTAAAATCATGAAAAGAAGAAGCTATTTTAATAAATTAAAGACATTGTTTACATTACAAAGAGGGCTTATGCTCTTCTATTTCCTCCCCACGGCGAAATGGTCACGCGCGCATTATTTGAATTTTTCAAGTGGTTTAGTCTTGCACCCCTTTACATTTT